CCCCCCCCCTTCGCCCTAAATAAAAACTCGAAAATGTTTTTATAATTAGGGGGGGGTTGTTATCTCAATTCCTAGAAACACAGGTTCTACAAGTAATTAAATGATGAAAATGATGACGATGAAAATGATGATGACGATTACGGTGATGCTTGTTATGATGAAGATGGCGGTAGTGGTGGTGATGGTAATGATGACGATGATCATGGTCCAGGAGAAGAACATGATGATGATGAAGAACATGATGATGATGTTGTTGTTGATGATAGCAATGCTTCATGGTTGCACAAGTGCAGAAGAGCACATGTGGTGAATGCCAGAAGCTTGGAAATAACATGATAATTAATTAAATATGATAGGAACTGATTAATTAATTAATGATGTTCCAAGATTCTGGCATTCGCTGCAAGTGCTTTGCTTCTGAAAGCTGTCAACAATCTGCCCGCTCCGCCACAGACAGGCAGCCTCAAGAAGAGGCCTTTGGGCCTCGCTTCAACAGGCTGTCACACACACACACACACTCACACTCACACTCACACTCAGACAGACCAACCGGAGCACTCAAACACAGACACCACTCACACACACTCACTGAGGAGGCAGACAGACAGCTGGAAGTGCTTCTTCGCTTCGCCGCCATGGGCGGCTGAGTGCCGCCATGGGCGGCGAGGAAGCCCACGAGAAGGCGGGATCTTTTCTAAGACGGGCGTTAGTAATCCTTCAGACACAAAAATGACGGGCAGGGGAATCGAACCTCGGCACCATCCATTGAGAGTGTAGCACTACCCCCTCGGCTATCCTGTAGCATATCGAAGTAGTGCAATTCTGACCCCTAGGAGATTATCACGACCACGATTCGCGGGCGCAAGGCCGAATGCAGTAATTACTGATAGCAAAGAACAGAGGATTGTAGTACAAGCTTAGTACTGGAAGAGCCTCGTCTCGGATGCTGTCGGGATGATGTCGGTGCTAGAAGTGTCTCCTGTCCGATGCTGGCTGGATGGTGCTCAATTGTAGTACAAGCTTAGTACTGGAAGAGCCTCGTCTCGGATGCTGTCGGGATGATGTCGGTGCTAGAAGTGTCTCCTGTCCGATGCTGGCTGGATGGTGCTCAATTGTAGTACAAGCTTAGTACTGGAAGAGCCTCGTCTCGGATGCTGTCGGGATGATGTCGGTGCTAGAAGTGTCTCCTGTCCGATGCTGGCTGGATGGTGCTCAATTGTAGTACAAGCTTAGTACTGGAAGAGCCTCGTCTCGGATGCTGTCGGGATGATGTCGGTGCTAGAAGTGTCTCCTGTCCGATGCTGGCTGGATGGTGCTCAATTGTAGTACAAGCTTAGTACTGGAAGAGCCTCGTCTCGGATGCTGTCGGGATGATGTCGGTGCTAGAAGTGTCTCCTGTCCGATGCTGGCTGGATGGTGCTCAATTGTAGTACAAGCTTAGTACTGGAAGAGCCTCGTCTCGGATGCTGTCGGGATGATGTCGGTGCTAGAAGTGTCTCCTGTCCGATGCTGGCTGGATGGTGCTCAATTGTAGTACAAGCTTAGTACTGGAAGAGCCTCGTCTCGGATGCTGTCGGGATGATGTCGGTGCTAGAAGTGTCTCCTGTCCGATGCTGGCTGGATGGTGCTCAATTGTAGTACAAGCTTAGTACTGGAAGAGCCTCGTCTCGGATGCTGTCGGGATGATGTCGGTGCTAGAAGTGTCTCCTGTCCGATGCTGGCTGGATGGTGCTCAATTGTAGTACAAGCTTAGTACTGGAAGAGCCTCGTCTCGGATGCTGTCGGGATGATGTCGGTGCTAGAAGTGTCTCCTGTCCGATGCTGGCTGGATGGTGCTCAATTGTAGTACAAGCTTAGTACTGGAAGAGCCTCGTCTCGGATGCTGTCGGCATGATGTTGGTGCTAGAAGTGTCTCCTGTCCGATGCTTTCTGGATGGTGCTCAATTGTAGTACAAGCTTAGTACTGGAAGAGCCTCGTTTGGATGGTGCTGGCATGGTTCTTTTGATTGTTTTTTTTTCCCAAACGTGCAGGCCAGGCTGCGAGCCGCTTTGGAGAATGCTTTGGCCGAGCTTGACAAGGCGCAGGGGTGCTGATGAATGAATTGACCGAATTGCTCTAAACATCAGGACGACGAGAGGGAAGCCAAAAGAAGGAAGACAGCCAAGACAGTAGAGGTAGTTGACTTGAGCAAGGAAGAACCACAGGCAGTGGTTTGCAGGCAGAGCAGCCAAGACAGCCTAGACAGCAGCCAGACAGCTAGAGGAGTCAAGAGGCAGGCGAGCTTTCACACACCTTCGCCGAAGAAGCGTCTGTTCAGTCCTGACAGCAAGGGTGGAGACAGCCAGAGCCCAGGCAGCCAGAGCCCGGGCAGCCAGAGCCCAGACAGCAACCCTGTGCAAAAGAGAAAGATAGAACAGCTCAAAAAGACCTTAGGCCCAGGCAGTCCAGTCTACTACAGGCTAGACTACCTTTGGGGCAAGGCAGCAGAGGCAGAGGCCAAGCCCGGCCTTTCGCCAGACACAGCTAGTGACAGACAGAAACAGCAGCAAGCTGAGAACATGCAAAACCTGCAGCAGAAAGCCAGCCAAGCAGTGGAAAAGCTCGAACTGGAGCCAGCTCTTGGAGTTCTTAAAAAGAGACGGGGAGGCAGACCGCTAGGCAGTAAGCAGAAGACGAAAGCGGTGCCGCATCTTCGCAAGAAACGATGTGATGTGACAGCCAGAGGCAAGCTTTCCATCATGGAAGAGTTAGACAGAGCAGCTGTAACTCACAAAAGCAAAACTGCAGCCAGGCAGCATGTCATGAGGCAGTATGGTGTGAGCAATTCTTTTTGCTTCAACCTGCAAAAAGACTATCACAGACAGAAAGTCACCAACTTTCTCGCCAGCACGGGGCGAGGACACAGTGCCAGACAGGCAGGCAGCCATTTGGGTCTCGTGCACCTCGTCAGCAAGTCAAATGGCCGAAGACTGCCTGACCCAGGCAAAGTGCTGGGTAGGCCAGACTTTCTCCTGCCAGTCTGGTCTGAGACCCGTGCTTGGGCCTTGAATGAGGAAGCCAGCCAGCACGTCCTGACGAACGAAGACGTGCTGATGGACTTCCAAGAAAGGCTCGACAAAGCCATTGCAGTCAGGCAGGCAGAAAAGGAAAAGGGTCTTCTTGACCAGACAGGTGAGAAGGAGCTGGCAGCCATGACGCAAAAGAAAGCCACGCTAGCCAGCAAGCCAAAGCAGAGGAGCAAGTACCAGATCCTGCTCCTGGCAAAGTGCGGTCTTCGAAACAGATCCTGCCAACAGACAGCCAACCTGAGCAAGGAGGATGAGAAAGCCAGGCTAGACTTGTCCTGGCGACTCTGGGACTTGCTTTTGGAACAGGCAGCCAGCAAGACACCACAGCCAGACTTGCCTGTAGCAAGCCCAGAGCAGTGGACGACAAAGCGAGCAGAGACAGCCATCACCATGTCAGACCAAGTACCTGCTTGGCTCAAGCCAACGCCAGGGAAGGCGTTGACATCGGTGGTGCGCTTGAAGCTAGCCAGCGAGCAAAGCAAGGCCAGGCGAGAGAACAGGAAAGCCAGACAAACACAGCCAAAGGCCAAACCTGAGGCCAAAGCCAAGGCCGCACCTTGGCGGTTTTGTTGGGTGGATTCGAAGTGGACTTTCGGGTTTAGGGTTTCCTTAAACCCCAAACCCAAAAGCCAAAGCCTAAACATTCATGCACCTTCATGCTTTCGAAACCAACCGAGGCACCGAGGCTGGCATGTGCTTCTCGAGCCCCAGGTGTGGCAGCAAGGTGGCGAGTCAGCTTGGTAGCTAGACAGGCAGTGCAGAACTTCTTTGCGCCAGACAGACAGCCAGTGGGTGTCGTTATGCCCACGATACTTGTCACATACGGCAAACACTGCAGACTTGAAAACATCAGCCAGGAAGGCACGTGGATCAAGTCCGAGTGCTTCCAGGTAGGCAGCCAGACAGTCAGGAGAAGGGCAGGCCACCGAGTGCCAGGACAGGTGATGCGCACTTGGCGCAAACTGCGACAGACCCAGCCACACCTGTTTGATGGCAGTGTCAGGGTGTGGTGCCAGCCAGCCGCAGTGGTAGATAGCGTGATTTACAGATGGCAGCTAGAGCTCGAGTCAGAAGAGCACAGCCAGGCAGTGCAGCTCGTCGATATGTTCGGCGGAGCATGGACGACGGAGTCCATGCACGCCGCTGCACTCCTGCAGCGAGCTCAGACAGGCATTGCAGCCGGGTGCACCGGCTTGACCCAGGTGACAGACATCGGGTTCGCCCAGCCAGCCAAGGCAGCTCTCAAAAGGTGGCAGGAAGACTTGAAGCAGCGCATGCGAGAGAAAGCCAGACAGCAAAAGGTGCAGTGCACCTATAAGACAGGCCCGGCAGACATTCTGGAGGCAGCTAGACAGATGCACGCCAGGATGGTGCAGTTGAATGAGACAGAGAAGACAGTCCTTCGCTGCATGCGGCAGGGAGGCTGGTTCCACTTCCGTCCAGACAGTGAAGGCAGGCTTCAGGACTGTGGCAGCCAGGAATGGTGTCTGGACTTCCCTGAAGGCAATGCCAAGCTAGGCAGCGACCACCTCAGAGACAGGTCTCGTTGGGTGGACAAGACAGGCAAGGTGCTTCCGTGGACAGAGGCAGACAGCAAGACATTTGATGAATCCAATGCATTCGAACCCGAGTCTACGTACCTGCTTGGCCAGACAGACATACACTTGAGCTTCCGAGCGAAGCCCAATCTCCTTGCTCAGTCAGAAAGAGAGCTCAGAGAGGTCATTCTGAGACAGGTCCACCCGAACGAGAGGAGACGGCTTTTCCAGGAACAGGTGGACCAGACAACGAGCCAGACAAAGACAGAGAGGCAGCAGAGAAAGGAAAAAAGGATCAAGAACGCGAAGCAAGACAGAAAGAGGCGCAAACTTTTGAAAGAATGGAGACAGCAGCAAGCCAGCAAGACAAAGAAGCAGGCTCTGCAGTCTGTCGTGCCCAAAGTGGGCCAGAAAAAGAAGAAGAAGGCAGACAGAAAGAAGCCCAGCCAGGTCAAGAAGCAGCAAAAGAAAGACCAGGCGAAGAAGGCTCAAAGACGGGCAGCCGAGCCAGGCAGTGAGGGACACTTGCATGGCAAGCAAGCTCGAGTGATCGGTGACCTGGCTCCGCTGCTGGGCAAGATCGTGGTGTGTGGAAAGCAGACAGACAGCCAAGTCCTGATCAATGCTGACGGAGTTCATGAATGGGTCAGCCACACAGACATTACGCTGGACGTCAGAGACAGACAGTTTCCGCTGGTTTTGGATTTGGAGTCTTTCCCCAGTGCTGCAGCCAGCGAGGAAGCGGCAGCCAGTGCAAAAGATTTGCGGCTTTACAAGCACGAAGACCTGCTGACAGACAGCCAGCTCGAAGCTGGCATCAGGGAGATGGCATACCGACTCTCCCATGGAGCAGAGCCAGCCAGCCTGTGTGTTTTGCGGCCAGCAGAGGCCAAGCAACTTATCCAGACACATACACTCAAGGCAGCAGCAAAGACAGCCATGGACAGCCAGGCTGGTTTGGTCTTGGCAGTCGTGCAAAGCCAGCCTCCGAGACACTGGTCCTTGCTGGTGGTCGAGACAGTCAGAGACAGCCCCGAAGCGAAGGTCAGGTACTATGACACGTTGCCCGGTGAGGCAGCCTACAAGGAAGCCAGTGCAGTTTTGAAGGTGCTGCTGCAGACAGCCAAGAAACAGGCCCAGCCTTTGCCTGCGCCAGTCAGTCTGCTCAGACAGACAGATGGCTTCTCGTGCGGCCTCTGGGTCTTGATGTATATGGAGCAGGAGTGGCGGCGGTGGATGGGTGAGGCCCCGCAGCCACTTGTGAAAGACCTGCCAGCCAGAAGCAGCCAGCTGAACCGCTGGATTCAGCTGCTGCTGCGAGGCAAAGAGCTAGCCAGACAGAAAGAGAGTCAGCAGCAAGACAGCCAGACAGCAGGAGACACCATCGTTTTTGGCTGTGCCCACTGCAGTTTTGCTCTGAGTGGCTGCCTTCGCTGCAACAGAACGCAGTTTTTGAAGTATATGAGTAACCAGGCACACAAAAAGGCAGAGGAGGCAGCAAAGGCACCCGAGGCCCAGGCCAAGACCAAGGCCAAGGCCAAAGCCAAAGCAAAGGTGAAGGCTCTTGGAAAGCCAGGCAGCTCAGGAGCCATCTCGTGCACAACTAATTAAATAATGAATTACATCTCGAGTTTTACATTAATTAATTACAGTAATTACTTCTTCGTACAGGATGTGCCTCGCTTCGCATGCTGGCTGGATTGTGCCAAATCGTAGTACAAGCTTAGTACTGGATGTGCCTCGCTTCGCATGCTGGCTGGATTGTGCCACATCGTAGTACAAGCTTAGTACAAGCTTGGAGTACTGGATGTGCCTCGCTTCGCATGCTGGCTGGATTGTGCCAAATCGTAGTACAAGCTTAGTACTGGATGTGCCTCGCTTCGCATGCTGGCTGGATTGTGCCAAATAACACCTCCACAACACCTCCACAAAACCTCCACAACACTTCCACAATACCTCCACAACACTTCCACAACACCTCCACAACACCTCCACAACACCTCCACAACACTTCCACAACACCTCCACAACACTTCCACAATACCTCCACAACACTTCCACAACACCTCCACAACACCTCCACAACACCTCCACAACAACTCCACAACACCTCCACAACACTTCCACAACACCTCCACAACACTTCCACAACACCTCCACAACACCTCCACAACACCTCCACAACACCTCCACAACACCTCCACAACACCTCCACAACACCTCCACAACACCTCCACAACACCTCCACAACACCTCCACAACACCTCCACAACACTTCCACAACACCTACCACAACACCCAAATCAGCAATGAGCTTGTCTGCAGCACTCTCGACGCAGAGTGCCCAGGGCTTTTGGTCACCCAAAGTCTCGGTGCTCAAAGCTTTTGGTCACACAAAGTCTCGATTCCAGGCGGGGAAAGAGCTTAAATGACGAGGCCGGGGATTGAGCCGCGGACCTACTCCAATGGGAGTCGTCCGCCCACCCCTTAGGCTATCAGAGGATTGGAACGGAGAGGGCGATGGACCATCTCCAGTCACGGAGAGATCACAATTGTCGCAGCCCGGTGGGGTCTCCGGTGAGTGTTCCGAGTCGCCACCCCCTTTTGCTGAGCCTCCCAGTGCCGATGCCCAGAAATTCTGGGAATTGCCATGTGTAAGGTCGGTCGCCAAAAACCTTGCCGGCAGGGTTTTCATGGTCTAGTGGTTAACGTCGTGCCTGCCAGGAGCTGGAAGGCTGCCCGACAGATCCTGGGCAGCATGGACGAGCGACAAGGGCATCTTCGGAAATAGGGTGGATTGTGCTTTGGAGTAATTATTGGAGGTGCTTTCCGAAGGATGCTGCATGGACTCTAGAATCATACACTGAACAGAGGACCCCATGGTCTAATGGATAAGGCGCTCTGTGGGTAAACCACGGAAAGATGGGTGGTTCAAGTCCCCCTGGGGTTGTTCTCATGCCAAGTCGCAGTACAAGCTTAATTAGTACTGGAACCGCATCCTTCCCAACCCTGTGCGGCAGGGTCCCGGTAGCGTAGTGGTTAGTACATCCTCCCTTGACCCTACCAAGCAGGGAGTCCCCAGCGGGCCACTAAGAGGCCAACGCGGCCGGGCCATTTCTGACCATTGGAGGTGTTAGCCGCTGCTCTTTGTAGTTTTATTGTAGGCTAAAGTTCAGGGCTGTAGGCAACCCTAAGCCCTTGCTTGGAAGCTTGTCCTGGCTGACTGGAAGCTGCCTTGAAGTGGACTCTGTTCTGAAGAAGCTGCCCATGGAGAACGACCTGATGTGGCGGCCACTCATCTGTGCAAGAGCAAAAAGCACTCACAGAGCCGGATCCGGCAGACCATGTGGACACTGGCAAATAATCCACAAGTGACAGGGAGACTGGCGACAACTGCAACTCACCGAGAACTCCCCTCGGGCTGCGTCTTTTTTGGGTGGTTTCTACTGGCTGATGCCTGCTGATGCTGGATGAACTGGCTGGCTGCGACTTGCTCATATTCTCAGTACTGGAAGTGTCTCCTGTCCGACTGCAGTGAGGCTTGCCCTGTGGCTTCCTCCAATGGTGGCCGCTGGACCCTGCAAGTCAAAACCAATTTTGGCTCAGTGGTTAAGGAGTGGGCTTGTTGCCCGAGCCAGAGATCAGAAGAATTACCTTTACTGGTAAATCAGCGCAAACCGCACGGAAGTAGGTTTTCGATGGTCTTCTGGTTAAGACTGGCGGGGCCTGCTTGCCTTGTTTCGCATGCTGGCTGGATTGTGCCAAATCCTAGGACAAGCTTAGTACTGGATGTTCCTCGCTTCGCAAGCTGGGCAGGATGGTGCTGACTTGTAGTACGAGCTTAATTCATTCATTATTTACTGAAACATAATCAGTTTCGTCCTTCATGCACCAGATAATTACTTGGTTAGTTTGAGTTTTATTTTTCACTTAGTTCTACTTAGTTCTACTTCATTTGTTAATTATCTGGATTTCAACATCTCTCATAATTTCCACAGACCGCTCGCACCAGCCGGGAAGGAAAGCTGACTTGAAAGGAAGTTCCGCAGGCAGGACTTCATTTGAGACGCTTGCACAGACAACCAGATCAATCAATTCAGTAATTAACTTTACCAGCCGAGATCCGTCTTCCATTCTCAGTCTCCTTTTCCAACGAAACATGCAGGGCGGGTTTGCCGGAAGACAGCCAGCCGAGATGCCTGACAGCCGCTGCAGGCCGACTCTCTTCGATTGTGCAGACACCAGACGGCTTGTTCAGTGATATTAATTTGATAGACACGAACGACTTTCCGTCAAAGTTTGTTTCCTGCCGAAAAGAAGCATGCAGGCCGTCTTTTCCTGGGCAGACAGCAAGCCGCCTGACAGACGGTGCAGGCCGAATCCATTGCTGTGTTCATTTCAGCAGGCAGCCTGTTCAGTCATGCAAGGAGTGCTTTCATTTGCCATTCGACCTGCAAAGCAAGCTGCTCCAATCCAGGCAGCGAGCCTGGAACAGTACGTAGCAGCACAGGACTTACTTTCAGAACACAGCTAGAAGAGAGGCACAAACACACACTGGGCAGCGAGCCTGGAACAGAAAGAACAACACAGGATTTACTTTCAGAACACAACTAATTAGGTGAGAAACACACACACACACAGACAAGTGGGAGACAGACAAAGGTAGCCAGACAGACAGACAGACAGCCATGGCCTTGCAAGCCCTGGAGTACTTGTGCAAGTTCTCCGACAGCGACATCCAGACAGCTGGACGCCAGATAGACAGTGAGAAAGTCCGACGACTGTGTCACAGCTTGGTGGACTGCCTGGCCCAGCGAGTGACACAGACGGACTCAGGGCAGACAGCCGCTGCATCTGCCGCACCTGCAGACAGCCAAGCCAGCCAGGCCTCTCCTCGGAAAAGGAGTGTGAGCAACAAGAGGGGCAAGGTGGACCCTTACAAGACAGACAGCGGTGCCGCTAAAGGTAGTGGCCAGCAGGCAGGCCAGGCAGGAGGTGCCGCTGCTGGTGGTGGCCAGCAGGCAGGCCAGGCAGGAAGAGACAAGAGCAGGCCGCCGACAAAGAACAAGCTGCCGAAAGACACTCAGGCAGACCAGGTAGCGCCACCGCCAGCTCCGCCAGCTCCGCCACAGACGAGCCAGTGGTCTGGCCAGAGTCAGAGCAGCCAGTCAGATTGGGGCAGCCAGTCAGACTGGTGGTCGACCAAACCTTGGTGGGAGTGGGAGAAAGAAAGCCAGACAGACAGCCCACCAATCCCGTCGACTGGACTGGTTGTGGCGAAAGGCAGACAGATCGGAGGCAGGGGCAGGTACAGCCATGCGCAGAAGACGTACTTCTGCATTGTCCAATGCTTGAAATGCAAGGCCGAACCTTGCAACAAGAGGATGGAGGCAGAGGTGGACGGCCACTGGCCGCACTTCTGCCGTGCCTGCAAGCCCCACGGGGCGCCTGACCCTAAGTGGTAGGGCAGGCAGGCAGGCAGGCAGTGGCCGTCGACCTCTGCCTCCATCCTCTTGTCAGCCAGACAGCTAGACAGACAAGGCAGTGGCCGGACAGCTAGACAGCCAGACAGAGACACACCCTTGCAGGCAAGAAAAAAAATCGCCTTCAGAGTGGGAATCGCTGACTCATCAATCAAGCAGATAGAAGCAGATAGTGATTGTGCCTGTTGGCCAGGCGCCCGCGACCTGCCGCCAGACAGCCGTGTCAGCCCGCGACCTGCCGCCAGACAGCCGTGTCAGCAGTGTACGGGCCCACAAAGAAGCTGTGGCTAGCAGAGTAATTAATTATTCGGTGGAAACCGTTCCGAACAAAACCTGCCTTAGCCTAAACGGCCCTAAACTCTGTGGGCTCTTCTATTCATGGATGTGCAGCCCAACCTAAACCTTTTGTGGTCAGAGAGAGGGGATTTGCAGTTTGCAGCGAGTCCGTGCCCCGTTTTTCAGAGAGGCAGGCAGTGCTGATTGCTCGCATTGCTCACGTTGTGGAAGCTCGCAGCCAGCAAGCAGCACACGTTGTGGAAGCTCGCAGCCAGCAAGCAGCAGACCGGAAAGCCCCTGTGAAGAAGACAGCCAGACCAGCAGGCCGGGCGACTCAAGAAAGCCCTTAAAATTCTTTCACAAAGATGAATGCTGGCAGGCAGTCAGCATGGCCAGCCAGGAAGCAGCAGCAGCCACAGCCAGACAGGCTGATTCGAAACCTTCCTCCTCAACCTAAATCCTAAACCATAATGAAGAAATTAATTAATTACAAGGGTTTGGGGTTGTAATTAAAAGGGTTGCTTGAGAGGTTGGAAGGTGATTTCGGGCTCCGAGGCAGCCAGGCAGTGAGTGTGCAAGGCTTCAGGGAGTTCAGGGTTTCTTCGGAGGTTGGAAGGTGGGGTGGGGCTCAGAGGCAGCGAGGCAGTGAGTGCGCGAGGTTTCAGGGAGTTCAGGGCTTCTTCGGAGGTTGGAAGGTGGGGTGGGGCTCAGAGGCAGCGAGGCAGTGAGTGTGCAAGGTTTCAGGGAGTTCAGGGCTGGGAAGTTGGGAGTAAGTACTTAGTAATTAACTAATCAGTACTAGTAGTAGTAATAGTAGTAGTAGTAGTAGTACTAGCAGTAGTCATTGGCAGT